ATAATGGAAGGTGGAAGCCCAGTTGCTAACCTAGGAGACATCTTGCCATCTCCAGGACATGAAGACTTACCCCTGCTCACCCGTGACATTTGTCATCTTGCTACCTGGAGTTATCGTTTTTAATCCTACAGCTCTACTACAAATGGTCCTCGCCACACAACCAACACGTGCTGTAGTTCTTGTTTTCTTTGTTTTATAGTGATTTGCGGTTCCAATTTCATTCCCAGAACAGCTAATGATTACTGTTCTCCAACTGCTGTTAAAAGCTGACATATTTCATTTAACATATATGACAAGGCGTCAGTTTTCTGCTCCTGTTTCACCTGTTCTTGGTTAGCTTTTATCCGCTGTTTCATCTACTGCATAATGTCTCTCGGATCAGACAGATTTACGTCCTACACTGTATATTTCCCTTTTATTATCCTAGCCTTTAGTGTAAACCGTAAAAAAATAATAAGAACACACACCAGTGATATTTACAGCACAGGTTATAGCAAATTGACTACACAAGTGTATAACTCAGCGCTAAATTTTCTTACAAAACACTGCTTCATTATTATACTGTATAACAGTCACTACACTTTACGTCACTTCAACATACTCGTATTCTAAACATTAGATATCACTATGACGACGCTTAACTGTGCTCTGCTGGTCACTGTTTCTCACTGTTCTATCCCATAACATCCTGAGGCACCACCTGCCTCATATACATCACAGATACCCCATTGGAATTAACTCAGTTTTTTAAACTATTGGGTTAGCGTAGATTAAATCTTCATAATGTACTTTTATGTGCCCATGACATGTGTATCCCTCAAAACCACAATAGAAAAAAAATTGCCTTATTCTCCATCATATCTCCCTCTATTCCTTTGACTCCCTGACTCACGCAATGACTGTTATGCATTTTAACCAGCATTGGTTTTAATTCTAAAACTTTACCTTATTTACCCTGGCTCTTTAGCCATCTAAAGATTTTACTCTCATAAGGTCTTTCCACAAGCCCGAAACCACATCTGTAGTTGAGAGTAATACCAGCTGCTGTTAGGCTCACACCTTCTCATGTATTGTGTCCAGACCTAATACATGGGGAGTGACTTGCCCAGCCACACCTGGGATACTACCTACCACACAAGTTAATCATTTATATCATCTACCCGTCCAAGTAAAACTAAACACCTGGGTGAGCTCTGCGGCCGCTGCCTGTACGTACATGATTTCTGTGGTTGCTTCCTGTACATACATAGTCTGTGGCTGCTGCCTCTACGTACATGAACGCTGTGGCTGCTGCTGCCTGTACATACATGAACTTTGTGGCTGCTGCCTGTACGTAAATAAACTGTGTGGCTGCTGCTTGTACGTGCGTGAGCTCAGTTTCTGAAGCCTGTGCGTATCAACGGATTCGTAAGCACTGACGCTAAGTTTCATTTGGGAAGTTATTTTTTTTTAATATCACAAAGGTTTCTCGGCTAACGCTTGTGTCTTGACTACAAAATGTATTCGACCTTAATGCTGGCGAGGGGCTTTTGTTCCAAAGAAATGCACAGATCTTTCCCTCGGATAGAACCTTATTATAATAAAATGTACTCATACAGAATGTACTAGACCTGAAGCCCTGTGAATTGTATGACCACTAAAATCGTCGCGGGTTTGAATTCTTAGTACTGATGTGAACACAATTTGGTGATAGTGCTATTGTTTTCTTTAATTAAGGAAAATGTCTCCTTACGCCTGTTACATGATCTGCTTCATGACTAGGCAACGCTGGCGTTATCTGTGAGGATATCCGCTATTTTCCGTGGTACTGTTGCTCAAAGCGGGTCACAGAGTAGCCGCACCATATATCCTCCCTGACCCACCGTGGGATGGGTGTGAAGGCAGCTCACTGGATCGAATCTTCGTACATAAACATGTTCATCTCATGAGTCACCACTGAAGGGGTTTGTCAGCATAATGCTCCTCAGAAGAGACTACAAGAGGGTAGCACGTCATTAATTTTAACCTTCAACTTTATCTTATCATCATCCAACATTTCCGTCAGATTGCATTGTAACTCTTCATTATGAAAGTCGCGATAAATGTTAACTGTATACACCTGCCTGAGGATGGCCCAGAGTGTTTCATGTAAGGCTCTGTGGTGCACTAGCGAAGTCGACTACCCTCCTATGATTGCCTATCATAAACCCATCAGCGTCACTGAAGCATTTTACCATCACTTGACTTGCTACATCTTGGTCGTCTAGGAGTGACTGTTGACCGCCGTAACAGCAGCCTGTCTGCTTTCTCCTTCCTGACAGAATATGTCAACAACTTTCCATTATGATACCTTATTATATACTCCAAATGAAAAAGCTAAAGATAATACAATATTTTTTTTTTCTGTTTTGTTTAACTAAAATCCAGTACCCAGAACCACTCAACCTCGAGTTTCTTAATAATAATTAAGATAATCCTGAAGCTATTACCCTAATGTGATGACATACAGAGAATACTCTCTCTCTCTCTCTCTCTCTCTCTCTCTCTCTCTCTCTCTCTCTCTCTCTCTCTCTCTCTCTCTCTCTCTGCAAACTTTATTGTCAGTTCTGAAGGGTATCATGCTGTGCTTAATATTAGTACACTACATTCAACGACAAAATATTAATTAGTACTTTGAGGAAGGTTTGTGTCCGCACTGATATGTACTGTTTACAGATATACCATTCTTATGGTAAAGATATCATATTGATAATTTAATATTATAAGCGTTGTTCTGACGTATAGCATATATACTATGGATGAATTAGTTACCAATGCTCTCCTGAACATCACCAAATAAGGCCTAGTCTACTAAAATGCTGCATGATTAGTATTCATAATATTTTTATTTTTATTCATGAGAAAGCGCTAAATCCGTAGGGGTCAGTGAAGCTCCTGAGAACTGGGAGGTAATCAGATTTGATCTGCGGAAGGAGAGGATAGCTCCAGTTCCTTGGATAAAGAACCCTTGGCCAGCATGAAGGAAACTCCGCTTGAAGGTACAGAGAATAAGTATCATCCAGTAACTGCCTTAAAAAAAAAACTGCCTTAATCCCGTGTTGATGATATAGTGATATGATTCGCCCTTCCTGACATCTTGTGAGTTGTTTCATGTTGTAAAATAGTTTGTTCAGTACTGTTCTCAGCCCATGATTATGGAATGTTGCAGTGCATCATGCTGCTACAAGATTCGTACTTGCAGTCAAGGCGATGATTATTGATTAAGATTAAGGATACTTCTCCCCACATCATGAGCTATGATGTAAATATATTATGATATCTCCTGGAGGTCCCAGCCTTTTTTTTATCACAAATTAATTTTACAGGCTTGGAGCTGTTGTCCTACCTCAGGTTATTCCAAAGCCCAGCCCTATCTAAAGTATATTACCACCCCCAGGATGCAACCCACACGAGTCGGTTAACACCCAGGTAAACAGGGGCAGCAAGAGTAAGGAAACACACCCAACGTTTTCATCCGTACCAGGGATCGAACCCCGGACACAGAGTGTGAGCTGAGTGCGTTATCAACCGAGTCACTGGACGCCTATTCTTTGGTCTGCTTGGAGATATCCTCCTGTTCCTTGCTTGAAACCTGAATACCTCCCATTCCCCAGACTATAACTCCTATGGGGTTATCACTTCCATGTTAATCTTAATAGTTTTGCTCTGCTAAGGCTAGACAAACATTGCATAAATGTTTTGGAAAATGTGCAACCTTATAAGGATCATACGACGGCTGGAGGATGGGAGGTAATCAAGTTTGATCCAGTGAAGTAAATATGTATTATCTGGAAGTCATTGCTCCTATAAATAAATAATTTATTTACGAGACTTAAAAAAATAAATGAAAATTTATTGTTTGAACAGTCTGAGGTAAAGAGTATGGAACTACAGTACGTGCTACAGGGATGTGTAACAATATTTCTCTTCTTGTGTATAACTGTATCTTCCTGTTTGTGTATCACCTTATCTCTTCCTGGCTGCATATCATCCTACTTTTTCCTGTCATTATTTTCTCTGTGTGTCACCCTACTTTTCGATGTGTAGTATTCCGTTTCCTTCTATTTATCATTTTTCTCTTCCCTGTAATTTCCCGAATTCATCGTCCTCACTATACCGTGACATGTACATCACCCTGGCTGATGTGACATGTACATCATCCTGGCTGATGTGACATGTACATCATCCTGGCTGATGTGACATGTACATCACCCTGGCTGATGTGACATGTACATCACCCTGGCTGATGTGACATGTACATCACCCTGGCTGATGTGACATGTACATCACCCTGGCTGATGTGACATGTACATCACCCTGGCTATGTGGTGACACACATGTACATCCTTCATGAGTGTTCACCATGGCTGTGTGGGGACATACATCATCCTTCATCAGTGTTCATGACCATGGCTGTGGTGACATCATGTACATCATCCTTCATGAGTGTTCATCACCACGGCTGTGGTAACATCATGTACATCATCCTTCATGAGTGTTCACCACGGCTGTGGTAACATCATGTACATCATCCTTCATGAGTGTTCATCACCACGGCTGTGGTGAGGTCGTGATTGTGTGACACTAATCTTAATACTTTATTAATGTATATCTGTCTCTTCCTTCATGGTGATTAGTATTCACGTCATTTTCTTTTCTTTGGCAGCATAAAATAATTTGATATTAAAAATATTTTTTGAATTATATAAGCCTGGTTGCATGTTAACTTCTCTGTTACGTAACACTTGGGTACGTTTCTATACCACGGTAGCAGCATTTATTTGCTCTCTTATATACAGCAAAATTTTATCGCTAGTATGCTTTTGTTATAATGGAGATGATTAGTAAGTGTCTAGGCCAAAGTATGACATGAAATTCTTTATTCATGCGCTAAAATAGATAGTGAATGGCATGTCATCCGGTGAGAGTTGCCAGGCATGTCGTTTTGAACGCCATTTTCAAGGCTGGTGAGCAAGGGTTGGTTGGTGGTTCAGTGCGAGTCTGGCCTCAGCCAGTGTAGGTGTGTGGCAGGTGCTGTCCTCCTTCTCTCCTACTACTCTTCAGTGATATTCCTGGAATCTTAGAGTAACGCACATTGAACTGCTCCCAAAATGAACAATGGTATATGAATTAGGCTTTGGCAAGATTTTCATTCGCTTTTTAATTAGACTTCATTAACAGTTGGCTAGAAGATTTAGGGTAAGTGAATATGGCACCCCTTTTTACCATATTTAAACTAGTGTCATGTATTTAGACAAGAACCATTATGGTTTGTTTTAATTTAATATACGTATCCGATAATGAATTACTTTAAATTGTATGTGCCATTAATGAGTTTGCGCTGTACTACGTTAAATACATATAACAAATCGGGAGGTTTATTATATTTAATATAATATAATTTGTACATAATGAAGACAAGAACGGAAGATGACTTTTGGTCCTTGGGTGTAACAGGCCCACCGCTATACCACAGCCATGAAATTTAACTGAACGATTTTTATAGCTGCACTTCTGTGACATGATTGTATGGACAACACTGACCCTATGATGTCATCTCGCCTCCCTTGAAACTTTCGTGAGGTCATAGCTAGTGCTGTCTAAGCATGTCAGAATTTTTTACGTCATCCTGTTGTAAGCTTTGTGGCTCAGTGGTACAACGTTAGGCCTGCTACATGCAGGGACCATGGTTCGACTCCGTCCATTTTACTGTTTAGTCAGTGACTCAATCCCATTTATTTATTCCCACTGAAACTCCTACCACCCTTCAGCTTTGTTTCACTTAGGACATCCAGTTTCTTTTCATTAATAACATCCACAATGTTTTTTTCCCGCGCTACATCCACGCATATTCAAACATTCGAACTTAAAGGTTTTCTTTTATTATAGTAAGCTATACGGGAAAAGGGGTTACTAGCTCATAGCTCCCGGCACTTTGGTTGACTTACAACGCTCATGGCTTAAGGAGGAAAGATTCCTATTACATTTCCCCATGGATATGAGAGGAAAATAAGAACTATGAAAAAGATCAAGGTAAACTCCGATGAGCGTGTATACATAAGCGTGTACATGTACGTGTAGTGTGACCTAAGTTTAAGTAAAAGTAGCAAGATACACCTGTTATCTTGGAGTTTGAGACAAAAAAAAAAAGCGCTCCTATCATAAATACAGATTTCTGTCATACACTCGTTTGGCACGACAGTAGTACTTCCCTGAGTGGATGCTGTCTACCAACCAACTAATATATATTACCTGGAGAGAGTTCCTGGAGAGAGTTCCGGGGGTCAACGCCCCCGCGGCCCGGTCTGTGACCAGGCCTCCTTAGGTCAGTGTCCCAGGATGCGACCCACACCAGTCGACTAACACCCAGGTACCCATTTTACTGATGGGGAACATAGACAACAAGTGGAAAGAAACACGTCCAATGTTTCTACTCTGGCTGGGAATCGAACCCAGGCCCTCACCGTGTGAAGCGAGAGCGTTAACCACCAACGCTCTTGTATGAGTGTGAGGCATGGGTTGTGAATGTTGCAACAAGGAGAAGGCTGGAAACAGTGGAGATATGTCTGAGGGCAATGTGTGGTGTGAATATAATGCAGAGAATCCGTAGTTTGGAGATTAGGAGGTGTGAGATTACCAAAACTATTATCCAGAGGGCTGAGAAGGGGTTATTGAGATTGGACATGTAGAGAGGATGGAACGAAATATAGTGACTTCGAGAGTGTATAAATTTGTAGTGGAGGGAAGGCGGGGTAGGGGTCGGCCTAAGAAAAGTTGGAGGGAGGGGAGGGTAAAGGAGGTTTTGTGTGCGAGGGGCTTTGACTTCTAGCAAGCGTGCGTGAGCGTGTGAGATAGGAGCGAATAGAGACAAATGATTTTTAGGACTTGACGTGCTGTTGGAGTGTAAACAAGGTAACATTTATGAAGGGATTCAGGGAAACCGGCACGCCAGACTTAATTCCTGGAGATGGGAAGTACAGTGCCAACACTCTGAAGGAGGGGTGTTAATGTTGCAGTTTTATAACCGTAGTGTAGTCATGCCTCTGACAAGACAGTGATGGAGTGAATGATGGTGAAAGCTTTTCTTTTCGGTCCATCCTGCCTTGGTGGGATACGGCCGATATGTTAATAAAAAAAAATGTTATATTCACATAAAATGTCTATCATGCATACATTCATTCAGGTAGACCTGGACAAACTTCAGTAATGGTCAAACAAAGGGTTACTGTTATTTAACCATATAAAGTACAAGGTCTTGAAAATTGAGTGGAGAGACAACCGTACATCGTATACAGTTTGAGGAGCGAAGAACTACAGATGTTACCCAAGGAGAATGATCTTGGAGTGATTATCACACCCAACATACCGCCAGAGGTGCACAAATTGAGTAATATATGTAGTATATGCGAGGATAGCTAAACTCAGAATTGCCTTTAGAAACATTCGAGAATCTTTTAGGACTCGACACGACATATTTTAGGCCTATCATGGAGTATGCAGCACCAGCATGGAGCCTCACCTGATTAGGTATGTACGAAAACTAGAAAAAGGTCCAAAGGCTTGTAACAAGACTAGTCCCAGAGCTGAGGGGATTATGAAGAGAATAAAGGGACTAAACTTAGACAGCTTTAGAAGGGTTAGGGGAGACATGTTTGGAACATCCCCTTAAGGGAGGTTCCTTGACGCTGGTGAGGGGCTCTTGATCTTGGGAATTGGATCTGTGCTCCAGTTCCCTGAATTGAGCCAGAATACCTTCCATCCCCGTCCCTACAGGCGCTGTATAATCCCTATGGGTTTAGCGCTCCCCATGATTATAATAGTTTAGAACATAAAAGATACTCAGTTTTGCCATAGCAGATAGGGAAATGAGAGGCGTAGGAGCGAGGGATTATAGACGGAAACTAATGCCTCGGATGAACCACAGGGATGTTAGAAAATAGTTTTTCAGTCTTAGGGTGGTAAATGGAATGAGCTAATGAAGTGGTAGAGGCGAATTCAAAACATGGTTTCAATAGTAGGTACGAGAGGGTTAGAACACGCAAACGAGAACTGCGAAAAGCCCCAGTAATCACAGTATGCAAAATAATCGCAGAATAAATAATAAATTCCTCTGAGTAAGCATATTAAAATAAGTGATTTGCATTACTATTAAGATACCCTTATACATAACGGAAAAAGTGCTTTGTAAGACTGGGCCAGGGGCAGTCAAGACCCACCCAGGCCACTACCTGACCTTCACAGCTGCATGTACATATGCATTCTCAGCACTTTTGATATACGTTGTCTGTGTAATAAACCTGTTTCTTGTATTCATTTGTTAGTGTATGCAGGTCAGTAAGAGGGTTGTGGGGGGGGGGGTGACTGCTTTACACTCCTGCCCTCCACACGAACATTACCATATTGAGTGCATCTACACATCATTGTCAAGTGTTTGTATCATTGCTCAAATATTGCTTAGACTGATTAACTCTTGATAACTTCATCATGAGTAAGCCTGTTTTCACAGTGGAGATTATATTTAATGTAATGGAAATGTAATAGGTGTTGGCAATCGTAGTTCCCGCAAAGCGTCAGTGGCCCTAGACGCCATGCTGAGTCACGCAGTCCCTCCACCTCTCATGTTGCTTGGCAACTCACCAACCCTTGTTGCTTCTTAGAAACCGAAACGCACTGTTAACAAATTAAGAGAATTGTCTATTATTTTAAATGAAGACATTCAACAAGTGCAAAGATAAGTTGTTTAAATTTTCTCTTTACTCTTGTGTAGCTCTCCTCAAGGGGGTTGATGTTGGTAAGGGCCCCCTTGAGCCAAGGAATATAATATCTTCTACAAATACATGTACGTGGTATACAGGCCTAGCTGACATCAATGACATACTACTATAGAGAAAGCCCCTTGTTATGCACATTTCAGGCAAATTAGGTAAATTTTGTCCCAGGCTGCGACACATACCGGTCAATTAACACCCAGGTACTCATTTTTACTGATGGGTGAACATAGACAACCGGTGTAAGGAAACACGCCCAATGTTTTCACCCTCGCCGGGAATCGAACCAGGACACTCAGTGTGTAAAGTGAAAGCTTTTGCCACCAGGCAATTGAACCTGATTGCCTCCTATACTCCCAAGCGCTGTGTGACACCTATGTTTAGCGCCCCTCCTGTGATTATAATTGATTAGCTGACAAAATCATTTACTGGAATCTTAGTGAGCATGGTGTTCTCACGTTGCTATGGCGACTTTGTGTACTAGACCCAACGCAGTTTTTTTTTTTTTAAACCATACCCAGCCATTCGTATATATTAGCTGTTTAACCTCAAGTGCGTGGACAGCACAATTTAATTGAGCCTCTGAGCTGCAACATCTCATACCTCCTCAGTGCAGGCACTGTATTTCTCACCTCCAGGACTAATCCCACTAACCTGTTTCCCTAAATCCATTAATGTTTTCTTTCTCGCACCCCAGTAACACGTAGTCTAAAAACACTAATTTCCATTTCTTCACTGAGCTAACGCTCGCATGCCTGGAGCCCTCTCTTCACACGCTGAGGGTCCGTGATTCGATTCCCGGCAAGGATGGAAACATTGGTCGTGTTGACACCTGTTGTCCCTGTTCATCCATCAGTAAAATGGGTACCTGGGTGTTAGTCGACTGGTGTGGATCGCATCCTGGTACAAAATTGGTCTAATTTGCCCGAAATGATCTTCTCATAACAAGGGGCTGTCTGTATAGTATTATGTCATTGATGTCAACTAGGCCTGTATAACTTGTAGAAATAAATATATAATTGCTAAAAACATCCTTCATCCCACCTTTCAAACCCATCCTTTGACTATTTCTCCAGTCTACCCAGGATTCACACACCTTGTTAGCCATCCTTTTCTGTTCCATCCTTTCTAAATAACTAGACCATCTCACCAACCCCTTCACCCTCTGAATACTTCTCCTAACGCCATAAATATTTACTCGCTGCCAGGTTTGAAGCCCATGCCTCGCACCCTTATAATGATGTTGGTAACACTAGTTTCTCCTTGCCTCAGTAGATGAACTCCAATAATTTCTCATAAACTCCTCAACATTCCAGCTACCTTTCCTCTCGTCTAATTGTGGTTTCCTATATGAAAGACGAGATGAGCCCATCTGCCTATACATCCACAATATCCAAGTACGCTCGCTTCCTGCAATGTGAAATCCAAACT